TTTTTACTGTCCATTAATCTGTCAATTATTTTCTAGATTAACTTAGAAAATGTGAAAGATGTTGTTCCCCAAAGCTCAAGATGATGTCTTCAAATGTCTTCTTTTGTCCATAACCCAAAGATATTCCGTTTACTACCACAGGAGTAAAAAAAAATAAATAAAATCTCTCTCATATATATATATATTTTTTTATTTCATTTTTTTTCCACATTGAAGCAGCTGGAATCAGAGAATATTGACTTTTCTTCCTTAAAAAAATGACTCAAATTATTAATCGATTGTGAAAATAGTTGCCGATTAATTTAACAGTTGACAAATAATCGATTACTGTTCTGCCCTAGAGCTGCAAAGATTAAACAGTTTTCACTCATCACTGTAATAAATAAGGCTGCACAATTTTGAAAAAATATCTACTTAAAATTACAATCTGCGATATTTTACAACATCGCAAATTGCAATACATTTTGCGATATTACAGTGAATTTTATTTTTTTCCATAATTATTCTCATTTTCATTGAAAAACATATTTTATATGATTATGGTGTGATTTTTTGTGGGGATCTGTACCAAACAAAGATGTTTTCTGTATGTAAAGATATGATGCGATACATTTTGCCTTTTAACAAATATTGCACTTGAAAATTGCAGTAGGCCATATTGCAATTTCAAAAAGATTTTCATCTATTTTTAAAAAGCTGTTTCTAATGTGTCAGATAAAAAAAAAGAAAGAAAAGATTTCAATGTTTCTAAAAGCTTGTGTGTCCAGATACCCGGGTCTTCACTTCCATCATCGGCGATCACTCGAAGTAGAGTATGATGGTCCACCTGGGCTCATTGTGGGTCTTCAAATGGCTGAAAGAGACAATTCTGGAAATACAAACTTTCTTGAAGTGTGGGCATGTGATGTGTGGTGCTGGAAGTGAAAGGAGGAAGTGACGTTTTGGTGGAGACTCTCTCCTTACTTTGCTACTGCTTGTCTCTGGCAGCCTGTTGGAGATCGTCTTCATTGAATGTGGCTCCTTAATGTAAAATGTTTCTCCATGCAGTTCTGTTTCGAGTGAAGTCTTCCCAGTTAGAGCTGTTTATGTGGAACGTTTTGAGGTTCATCCTCAAACATGATGATGCTCATTGGCCAGCATTTTTTTCCATTTAGGAGCACATGTACTCCTCAGGAAAATGGCTAACATAGAGCCTTGACGATTTACAGGGAGTTCTGTGCTGAAGCCGGCCTATGTAGGTGAAAGTGTAGTGACTTCATACACACTACGCTACGTATTTAGCGGACATGAGAATGTCAACCTTCTCGTCTACATCTCGTCAAGATGGTGAATAAGCACATTTTCCAAAATATCAAACTGTTGCTGTAACGCTCATCAATCAAGAGTCAGAGTTGACCGATCGGCGTGTGGCGACCGATCAGTGAGTCAGTCTACAAGCTGTTAGTCAGGCACAATATGACTCAACAAAGTAAATGAGTAAGCAAATCATCCAGCACTCACTGGAATTGATCTATATCTCAAAATTAAACATGTGTCCACCATCAACCCATGTTCTTTTGTTTTCTGTAAGTCAGTTAAACCAGCAGACAGCAAGCCTCCTAGTCAGTCAGTGAGCATGCAGCCAGTCCACCAACCGTGATCCCCAGACATTTCCTACAGTACTCGGGTCAGAACAGCCTAATCAACACAGAGGACATGTTTGAAGCATAGGAATGAATGAATGGACTGCAGCCACCATCTCATTGTTTTCAATAAGTGCTAGAATGCCACTGCAAGCGAGCCAAAGTCTTGTTCCCACAGTCACACATACAAAAATACACCCAAACTATGCATGGGTGTGAATCTGCTAACAGAAGCACAGACCAAAAACTTCCTTTAAAAAAAATGTTTACACTCATTCTGTTGCTTACACACTCATTTACACTAAAAGTCTGTGGCATCAGTGAGGGTGAAAACATCAATGAAGTTACGCATTGTGTGTGTGTGTTACATATGTGTGAGCCGCCTCTGTAATAAAGTGTGCTGGGGCTCATGCAGCCCTTCACGTAAATGGAAGTGAGACGGCTCTTCAATCTTTACTGAGAAGAAAGTCAGACTGCAAGTCAAGTGGTAAAAAAAAGAGGAAGTGAAAGAAAGAGGGGGGAGGGCAGAAGAAAAAGAGAGGAGGGGGAGAAGAGGAGATAAGGAGAATGATAGGAGGAAAGAAGGTAGGAAAGGAAGACAAGAGGGAATGTAAAGACGAGCAGGCATCAATGGATGAGGAAGGAACAAAGTCTTATATAAAGTACACTTTACTACTGTAGCTCTCAGATGTTAATCCATATAAAAACAGTCTCCAACTTTTTGCAATAAACCAGATTAAAAATAGAAGTAAAACAGGAGCAGGTGAAATCGGGCCTAGAAAGAGAAGATTGAGTAATTTTGAGCCATGATTAAAAAATGTATGTAGAGCTTAAACGAATAATTGATAAGTTGTCAACTATTAAATTAATCGCAAACTACTTAGATAGAGGAATCATTTAATATTTTATTCCAGCTTCTTAAATGTGAATATGTTTGGGTTTCTTTCCTCTGACGGTATATTGAATATCATAAGGTTCTCGACAAAACAATTTTCGACATTTGAGGATGTCACCTTGGGCTTTGGGAAACATTTTCTGACATTTTATATACAAAACAACTAATTGATTAATCAACAAAGAAAATAATAGTTAGATACAGCCCTAGATGTATAATGAGGGACAAAAGCCTGGTGAACTTTTACGGCAAAGTTGCGGTTCTCCAGCAAAGTGTCCATTCACCTTATCCCAAAATCGCTGCCTCTGCATGTTTTATGACCTCTAACAAGTGCAATTGGTCCATCACAGGGAATCCATATGAATCAATGATTCATCAACAGATCAGTCAATTCCCAGCCCCTCCTCCTCACTGACTCACTCCTGCACGGTGACAACATAGTGACTCAAATGCAACCTCGGCCTCATTCTGTAACAAAGAAACACACATTTCATCCCAGCAGAAACGCAGCCCGGGTTCAATTGTCAGTTTACTTTCACATCCACTTGTGGTCTTGCAGTTTGGTTCGGAGTCCTATGTTTTCCTGTTTTCATGCAGAGTTAACTGACTAACCTTAAGAAGCAAGACTATGGTATTTTGTTTTGTTTTTTTACAGACTGACAGGTGAATGAATATAAAACAAAGCACTTCAATAATGACTACTGTAAATGTTTCACTTGTGTCACTATTGTGGTTTGCCAACAGCCGCTTAGAAAGTACAATGAGGACCATTTTGCTTTACTCCTGATGGAAATCCAACACTGTCAACTTTACATGCCAGAACCAGTGTGTGTTTTTGAGTCAACTGAGGATTTCAATTTAAATTATTTTATTCTTAAAACTTTCTGAGCTGTTGTACCTGGCCCCATTTGAAATCACTCTATTTAAAGATGTCTCCTGGTGCTGTAAACACAGGAACAAAGCTCTGGTTTTAAACATTATCTGAACAGTGAAAATTACTTTATGTCAGGACACGGTTTGCAGTTGGTTCTGCCTCTCGCTGCCCTGCTTCACTGTGTATTTTGATGAAAAATAACTCAGGAAGAACAGTGAAGCAGTTCATGAAGATGAAATTCTATTAAAATCAGCTGAGTTTGGTATTATAAATCCATGCCGAATTCAAGAGTGGTTAATAATCATTTGAAAAAGTCTTTTGTTTTTGACTTAAATTTTTGCATATGTGCTGATACCTATCGCAACTTTAAATCGGCTTTTTTTAAATAAATGTCGTTAACCGCATTCCTTGGACAAAGTAGCAAATAAGTAATAAAACATCCATCTTTCTGGCTCTATTAACCAGGATCTACCTTTTTACTCACCATATCATAGACGTTTAGGATGATCGGCTCGTTTGCCATCACTGGCATCAGTTTTCTCCCCCTATGTACCTTCTTCTCTCCGCGGGTCTTCCTCCTTCGCACGCCACCTACTCTTCCTTCGGTGCGAGATCCAAACTCTCGCCCTCCAAAAATAGACCTTTACTCCTCCCCGTATTCCTGGCACTTTCACGACAGATGACCAGCTTGATAATTCAATTTCACAACCCGGTGTAAAAACGTTTGAGTTCCGAGGGTATTTTTACCGTCCAACATCTGACTGGCTTTGTCCAGATCCTCCCCCCCCCGCGGTCACAGCAGCGGCAGCGGCGGCGCACAGATGAGCCACTCGCTTGTCAAAACGAACAGACTTGCTAAACGCGTTCAGCTACCGAGGTCGAAGTGAAAAAGCGGACTCTACACCGGGAATTTTGTCTTCTAGGAGGCGCGCTGGCACAGGAAAATCGCACATTCATTTTCCCAAACGAATAAATAAGCAAAAACACATAACGCTGAGAAATGAAAACACAATTTCCTCAGTAGTAATGACTCGCTGCTGCTGCTCCTCTTCTTATTAGCTAGCTAACGGTGGCGCTGGAGCTGGCAGGCAGCAGGATGCGCCTGGTGGGAGAAAATTGGACGGTGAGTGAGAGGCAGAGCGGCCCAGCGGGGCGGTTCGATGATTCACACTCGATCAGGCAACCTTGGTGCCCTGAGCATTGTGGGAGATGTAGTTCTTGAATTGAAACTATCGAGAGAGAAAAAAACGACTCCCAGCAGCTGAATCATAACCAAAAAGATGAAACTACACAACGTACCCAAAAGTATGTGGACACACTTTAGTTTACACTTAGTCTGGGACTGTTTTAATGGTTTAAGGGAAATGTAATGTTTTAACATACACTGATATTAGCGCTGAAACATTTAGTCCATTAATCAGTGACAATTTTCATAATCAAATAATCATTTATGTCATTATTTTAAGCCAAGATGCAACTTCTCATGTGGGAAAATTTACTGGTTTTATTTGTCTTCAACAACAGTAAACTGAAAGCCTTTGGGTTGTGGGCTTTTGTTAGGGAAAACAAACAATTTAAAGACCAAACAATTATTCAAGAAAATAATGTGTCAATTAATCTATCATTCAATATTTATTTTAATTAGCTGCAGCCATACATGATACTTTATACATTAGCATATTTTGCCCTTTCCTGTTTCTACTTGCCAATTTGTGCTTTTACATGGACTTAAGATACCAGGATGCGTGGGAGAACTTGACTTGTCAGCACAGAGCCACCATCAACCCCATCCAACACCTTTGGGATGAACTGGAGTTCTAACTGCGATCCAGGCCTTATCACCCAACATCAGCGCCCAACCTCACTACTGCTCTTGCGGCTGAGTTGAGCAAATCCCTGCAGCCAGGTTCCTAAATCTTGTGGACATCCTGAAACCAGAGGAGTGGGAGGCTGTCATAGCAGCAGATTGTTTTTGAATGAGATGTCAAACAATCACATGTGAGTGGGATGTGTGGCTGTCCACTTTGTTCCAGTGTCCACATACGTTTAGCCATAGAGCGTACATGAGTTTGTAGCTCTTGAAGTTACGGCAGCATATACAACACTGATTTTAAATGAATAATTAATTAACAGAACACATACTGTTACTGACAGTGAAAAAACAACATTTGCAAAGTCTGTCCAGCTCAGTATATGTTAAATAAACAGCAGAGCATCAGAGCAACCTTAGAAACCTTCTAGCATCTGAGAGGCACTGAGTGTGACCAGAAACTCTGAATGAGTCACTTTTATTACAGCTCATGTTGAAGTACAAGTCTTTATAATCACTCCATAGTTGAGTCATTTAATTAGCCACTTTTATGTTTGTGCTGACATTGATTGTTACTCCTCGACATGAGTATGGAAGTTAAAATGTCTGTGTTTTGTTTTTTACATTTGATGGGCAGAAGCATTCAGCCTTGGTCCCCCTCATAATCCATGAAAGTCCTTTCACTCAGTTTTTCCTGCAGAAACAGAGTAGGAATGGCCAATATTACCGTTTTAGTGCTTTGCTAAAACATGTAGCAACAAGCTCATGAGCCCTCCTGGTCGTTTTCTCCCAGCAGTTCCATGAGCGTCTCCTGGTTAGAGAACTCCTGCAGCGAGGAGTTCATCTCATCCAGCAGATCCTCTCCAAGCAGGAAGCTCTTGATGTCGTGCACTGTCATGCCGATCCGGTGGTCTGTTATACGGTCCTGGGCGAAGTTGTAGGTTCGAATCTTCTCTGATCTGCCTCTAGTGCCAATCTGGAGGAGGAGAAAGAAGAGGGGGAAGATGAAGAATGAGTAAAGTTTTGATCTGAGCATTGGTTTGTGTTAAAATGCACATTAAACATATTAATGTTCCCATGCTCTGTAAGTTTTCTATTTGTACTATATGTTCTACCTTTATTTTGCATTGTTTATTCTTTCCAGCTCTTTTTATATTTACAATATACAAAATCACATGTGTGGAGCTTTTTATAAAGTATTCATTTACTTCTTTGGCTAGTTAATAAAATTTATTATTATTCAGTTAATTATAATATAATAAATTTATCAATATTTTCTAAAGAAACATCACTTGGCACACCTGTATTTTATATTATACTGTCTGTATCTCACCTGTATTTTACGCTGGTTGTAGCGTTTGCTGGTCTCCTCCTCTAACTTCATGCTGTACAGCTTTGCTCTCAGAGCCTTCATGGCTTTCTCTCTGTTCTTCAGCTGGGACCGTTCCTGCTGGCACTCTGCAACCACACCTAACACACACACACACACACACACACTAAAGTACTATTCTTATGTGGACATCCCATTAACTTGTACTCATTTCATGCCTACTCTTTAGAGAATATGACTGTTCCAAAAACTACTTACAGCAATAGAACCTCATTTTGGGAAGGAACAACATTCTTATAACTCGTGCCCATATAACTAAAACAACACCTCTGACATGTTTTGTTTTTTGCCAAAACACTGACTCAGATATATGCAACATCAAGTGAGGAGTTCAGTTCAGATATGGTATTGAGGGCTTTTATGTAATTGTGACAAACTTCCTGTCTCTAGCTGTTTCCTAGGTTTATAAATACAAACACGTTATTATTTCAAACCTAAACTTTCAGGAAATGTCCTGGGATAAGGAGGAAGTTGCATTTCCAGGGGTGGAGAAATCTAAAATTAGAAATCCCAATTATAAATGGATATGTCATGTCAAAAGGCCCCTTTTCACACTGTATCAAGTACATTTGTTAAAAGCACTGTGGTGCCCAGTGTCAGTGGATAAATTTGGTACCATATGTACAATATTTCTATATATATAGCTAAACTGTTACATATGTTCCATCTATTACAACACAAGGAGATTACAGTTATTACCTGTAGGCAGATGCACTATTCTGACTGCACTGTCTGTGGTGTTGACATGTTGACCTCCAGCTCCACTCGCTCTCTTAGTGTCTATCCTCAGGTCCTTCGGATTTATTGTGAAAGAGATCTGACCGGAACACACAAACTAGATCTAAATTAACAGTTCCTACACTTCCTACCTGCATAAACCAGTGTGTTAAAAACCAATGAGAAATGGAGAAACAAGAAGGAAAACAACAGAGATGAACACGCTGTTTGTGTTTATGCCGTCTACCCATCAAGCTGTACCTCAGTGGGTTGGGGCAGTACAGCCACAGTCATGGTGCTGGTGTGCATTCTGCCCTGTTTTTCAGTCTTGGGAACCCTCTGAACTCGATGGACTCCAGCCTCAAACTTCATCCTCTTGTAGCTCTGAGGGCCGCTGATGCTGGCTGAGGCATGACGTAGTCCACCTGGTTGTAGGTGAGCAATAAGCACCAATACTAGAATGTTACTCACAACTGGTGGCAATGACAGGGGGTTCTTTCAAATTTTCATTTCAAAGAGAGGAACTTTAATAATGTATATTAAATCTTAACCTTCCCTATAAAAATAACTTTGCCTTTGCTGTCCCTTTTTCTGACATTAAACGTGGGCATAGCTCCACAGGTCTGTGGCATAGGAAGGGCTCCCCCTTGTGTTTGATGTGGGGTAGTAGTAGTTGTAGTAGTCATAATGTAAAAGAGCGGGGGTTTACATTTTTTGTCATCCCATCCTACTTTCAGTCACAAATTGAAACTGAAAAAATGTGTCCACTATCACTCCCCATGCTTAGGGGGCTGCAGCACCCACTGAACTCAGGAAAAATAACTAACTTAAACTTATAATGACTTTCTCCTTGTTTTTACTGTAATATATATGTGTAGTGCACTAGTATTTGTGGTAGGAAACAGGTCATCATTAATATGTATGTCTATAATACAGGGGGGAAAAACTCATTTCCAACCCTGATTAAGGCAAGGCAGGTCGGCTCTATCATATGCAATGACATTTGGGTATTTCAGGAGGTTTAGTGTCTCCAACTGAATCAAACTAACCAAAGACATCAGGGTGATATGGTGAGACAGACCCAGACAGTTCAAACCAGCCAGCTACTGATAGAGTTCATAAGGTAACTGCCACTGTACAGTGACACATCAGTACAACAGGATGTGTGATTTGGTCACAGATCTAGATTATGAAATATATCTGGTAACTAGAGCTTGCTCTCATTGTTTTCAGTTTGGCAGAGTATTATTTTAACAATGTCTACACGTACTGTACTACCCATACAGAGAGTGAGAGATAGATAGAGAGAGAAAGAGGCTTCGCAAATCAAAAACTGATCATTTGATCATGAAGACGGACAGCATGGCTCTGTATAATTCTCAGGTTCATCAGTTAAATGTATGAACTATGCTGCAGATTTGAGTTACTGTTAACAGCTGTTACTCTGTATGTTTGTGTATATATATATATATATATATATATAAAATAGTGAAAAAAAGAGTGAACTGACCTATTTCGCTGGTCATGTGCTCCAGGATGTCGAAGGACCAGCCGTGGTGTTGAGCGTAGCCCTGGTACATATCAAACACCTTCAAAGCAAAGGAGGTTTTACAAGTCAGTATATGAATACAAAGAAAACTGTTGTAGGGTTTGTTTGCTTCATTATGACCCCTCTCTCCTCGCCACTTCTTCAGTCCTTCTTTATTCAATCTGAGGTTCCTATGATGTACTGTACTGTCACATGGAAAAATACAAAATATTTCTTACTGGTTTGTTGCAATTACCAATTTACATGGATCCCAATTTTCTATTTGTGTCTACCCTATAATTTTGAAATGTATTTGCTCTAAGAAAATATGTTGCTACTTTTATTGTTCAGGCGTTGTTTTAAGAAGTCCATAATCTCAAGAAGAAATAATAAATACAATAGGTAAGAATTCCCATACCTCAGCAGTGAACAGCATGGCCTCCTGACCCCCGACACCAGCTGTAACCTCAAGGACAAGGTCGCTCAAATCCACCTCCTCCTCAGGGATCAACAGACCCAGGATCTGAATGGTGAAGCAGGTTGATTTGACAGAAAAGTAAACAAGATAGATGTGATGTGTGAATAACTGAATATCTAAAGTGCAACAAGCAACAAAAAACACTAACAGCTATAGTTAGTCCATGGTTTAACATTAGTTCTGCTGGAAATTTGCTACATCAAAGGCCTTTCTTTCGGTTCTGTTACTTTATACTGCAGCAGCTTGTCACAAAAATTATGTATCACAGTTCTACCTTTTGTCTAAACTCTTGAATATCTTGCAGACAGTCTTCTCTTTCCAGCTCCGCCAGTTCTCGCAGGGCTGGATCTTCATCTTTGAGGGAAAACAAAAACATACAGTGAGCTAGGGTTGTGTGCGATATGACGACTTATACATTGGCACAATATAAATTTATCTACAATACTGTGGTATCCATTCCTTAAATATCTCTGAGTGTACTTGACTGTTTTGTTGCATCAGTGTGTAGTACCTTCCTTTGTGAGGTATTTAAAGTACTGTGTTAGCCTAAAACGGTTATTCCCATCGGTTTGCTTTTCTTATCCAAACTGTTTTTTAATAGAATTTTCCATAAAATTTTCCCATCTCACCTTTTAGGAGCTTCTCGGTCTCAGCAATCTCTTTTTGTTTGGTGTCCAGCTCTCTGATGCTCTGGATAAGGGGAGCAAGCTGGGACACTTTGGTCCTCTTGGCCCTCAGTTCGTCCTCACTGCACTGCTCCTCCGTCAAATTACTGTTGACTGTTTTCAAACATTCACTGTACTCTGCCTCTATCTTCTTGAAGTATTCCTGCAGAGAACTCTTGGCAAAAAGTTCATCCACTGACAGCAACTTGGCTGCCATTAATGGTGTACCAGTATAAAGAGTTCTTGTAGTTTTGCCACAGTTATTATTGGTGTGTTCATAAAATCTGACAGCTTGGCTGATGACATTTGGTAATTTTTGAAAACGAGGTATCCACAGACTAAAGACACACCCATTTCCACTCGGAAGAAGGTTTACAGCTCTTCTGTAAGCCATTGTATTAGCAGATTTGTTTGGAAGATTCACTGTGTGGCAGAACAAACAAATGCCAATATAACTTTAGCTATATAGCTTTGGCGCATGCTCCTCTAGTCTGGAAGGAACACACCGAATTTCATTCAAAAGTTTTTGAATTTTATATGTTTTTATTTCTAACAAAAATATTTTCCCGTGTATTTGCTATATTAAGAGATATTCCGTATCAGAAGAAAACATTCTTGAATTCGGCGTGCATGTATTACAACAAGCAGTCGCCAACAACCGCATTTCTGCGGAACACAACAACCACAACGCCAGCCTGAATATATAATTTGGAGTTTTAAAAGCCTGTGAACTAAGTGGACTGCCAGTCTGTGTTGTTTCGACTAAGGGCTGGATTTCAACCTACAAAACAATATAAGAGAATTTCAGAAAGTAATGAACTCACTATATGTGATCCTTAAGTCAAATAACAAACTGTCAAGTGCCTCCTTTAGGTTTTTGCTGTTGTCGGAAACATCGATGTGGCTATAATGACACACGTTTCAGTCATACGTTGTCTACAAACTTCCTAGCAACGTCTTGTTAATGCTTGTTATAAAAATATTGTTCCTTTACCACCTTGCTGTAGGGCGCAGACATATTGAATGTGGCACGCATGCGCGGTGAACAAGACATCTTCTTCTGCAGACAAAATTACAGCAGGCTACAGATTGTTCCAAAACATGATGACCATAGACTGGTTTTAAAAATTACAACACCATTTTGCACAAAAAAACAAAGTAGATTCTGATTGTTAAATATAAGTAAATACTGAGGTGAAGATAAAGAAAATAAAAAGATAGGGTCATAAATTACATTGTAAATATTTATTTAATAAATTTACAGAGCATCATTTACAGGGTGTGTGGGAAAAGGGAATGATGCCTTGATGTTTTGGACCAAACACCAGGGAGTGAACCTTTCGGGGGCAGTTGCCCACTTTGCGTGTGCTGTCCTGTAGTTGTAATTGAAATGACTGTGTGAATTCACTAAATTGCTCAAATTAGCATTATGCACTCCAGTATGCAAAGATTATAAGCATCAGGACTGAGGAGGTGCACCCTCCCCACCTCTACATACATCTTCTTTGTTTCTGTCTGTCACTGGCCGCAAATAGTTTTCTCATTTCCCTTTTCAACTACTTTTTTGTCTCCCTATTTCAGCTGTGTTGTTCATTAAACATCATAATACTGGCAACATTTTAATAAAGTAGTAGCCTGGCTGTTGTTTACCTGCAATGCACAACATAGACCATAAAATAAAGTAAAAAGTTTAAAGTGAAACAAATGAGGTACTGTATCTAAACTAAATTGCCACATTCACCAACTTCCCCCCAGTCTGGTTTCAATGAAAGAGCCACTTCACACATTCCATGCAAGGGTGTGAACTGTCCTGTGAATGACCAGTTCTTTAGCTCTTTTGTGTCAAACACTGGGATTCCTGACAAAATTGAAAGAAAAAAGATTTTCCAGGCTCTTGTTTTGTACTTTCCGTACAAAATAACCTCAACAAGGCTAAATGACCGTCTTGGATTCTTGTGTGATGCAACCTGAGTAATGACACTGTGCTATTTGTGTTGTTGTTATACCTTACACATTATCTGCTATCATTTACATCAAAGCAACTATGGACATGTCTGCCTTTTCAGAGGCTTAAAGAAGTCGATGAGACATTATGTAGAAGTTTTTTTAACTTAACATTTCATAATACAATATTTGCAACAATGTTAAACCTGTAAGTTACTAACTGGACACTGGACTTGAAATCATAAATCAATGTAGGTTCATAACTAGGAGTAACCCCTTTTACACTGTTCCACATTATCGTTTGATTTTATTAGTATAAAAATATCAAGGATAGCCGCTTTAAGGAAGGTTAAACTAATGCATAGTGAAAAGTGTGTACTATTTGAAACTCAACATAAATATACACTTGCTACCTGAAGGTTGTGAAGACATTTATGTAAATTTATCATGAACTCCCTCTGCAATTTTACAGAGGTTTACAGATATTTACCGTACTGTAAGCACTGTAACCATAGTCTGTATGACTGTAACCGACTGTGGAAAGATTATTTTCATCCGGGTTTCTGATCGGGGGACAATACCAGTGGAACCACGTCGACTGCGCGCTGACGTCACTACCCCAGCAGTTCAATTCTCAGCTCCCATTGGTTGATGGTTTAAAGGGTCGACAACCTCCTTCGCTGCGATAGGTTATCGCCTTATGCGCACGGATTTCAAATAAGAGGCAGCAACTGGCGGAATTTTACTTTGGAGCTTTTTATTCGGGTAGAGCCAGTGAGCCGAAAGTTAGCTCGGCGGTTAAAACGAGGGAAGCAAGAGTCTTCTTTGGATAACGATATCAACAAGCGTGAGGTAAGAAGCTTCACTTTATCAGCTCCAGCCTCCGAACTGCTAATGTTGATGTACAGATTTTATCATCTCAGCAACGTTAGCAAGTTAACGGTAACGTTAGTAGCTGTAAGTCGATCAACTGGCTTTGGGATTTAAACGCCGACTAACAATACGAACCTAAACTATGTTGGGTTTCAGCATAGTTTTGAGTTATGTGACGTTATGTGGCTGAATACGAGCTATTAACTTTAATTTGGCTAGCTTTTTAGTCACAAGTTAACTTAAGTTACTGTGCGCACCGTAAGTTACGCGGGTAAAGTTAGCGTTAAATGCAGGTCAGGTTTGCATGGAGCATTCGCCCGTTAATGTTAACGTTACAACATATCTTATCACAAAGGGAGTTTTAGCAAAAAAGCACTAACTTAATGTTACGTATGCATTAAAAGGTTGCAAACCGAAGTTGCACGTCTGAGGTACTTTCACGTCACTGCCACCGCCAATTCTGCATCGCGCCAAAATGAATTTAAATTTTGATTTTTTTGGCGGAAGTTTTTAACTGTGGTTATAGTTTATGTTAACATGTTTAATAGTAGTGTAGTCTTGTTACTTCTGTATTTCATATCATGAAAACTTTAGATTATAGTAAGTTAACGTTAAGCTAGCTTGCTTACAAAAAGAGTTACGTTAACGTTACGTTGGCTTGGATGAGCGATGCCATGCTGCCTGACAGTCACATTCAGTATTTTAAAACTAAAACATAACCTATCGACATGTCTCCTTTTATCCAGAAATCTACGTTACATTGTTTATGTTTCACTGTACGAAAGTCATCATGAAATGCCCTCGCTACGAGGCGACCAGGGCCAACAAAATGGAGAAGAGCTCTGCTGCAGAGTCCAGGGTGCTGCACCTCAAATCTTCCCCAGGGAAAGAGCCAACCCCCCTCAAACCTAAGTGCCCACCTGCTGGAGGGACTACGGTGTTGTTCTCTGTCAACAACAGCACCAAAGCAGTCAATAACAAGGAATACAGCAACAGCAGGGAGCCTGACCGGACTCTGGATGACGTGTTTGAGGACAGTGGCTATCTGTCTTTGCACAATAGTCAGATTGATGATCACCACGGGGATGAAGAGAATGACCAAATCCAGGGAAAACCCACAGCACCCCTGCAGCCTTCTGCTGCTGCACATCAAGAAAAGTTGATATCACCCAAGAATTCTCCCTCCAAATGTCATGGGAGGACAAACTCTAGCCATCCAGTATCCCTGGTGGCAGCTTTCACTCCAGTGGGTCGTATTAGGAGGAGAACAGCAGCATACTCTCTGTCATCCACCCCATCTCAGCATCAAAACGACCCCAACCTGCCTATACTGAATTTCCAGCGGGCTGTGTGTAAAGAGCTTGAAAAAGACTATCAAAAAAATAAAAGGTAGGATTACATTCTCCTATTGTGTTATTATTATTTTTTTGCTGGTTACAGAATGTGTTCTTTTTTTCCTGTTGTAAAATGTTGCATTCATATGTCAGCTTAGGTCACCATCAGTGGAGTGTCTTTCTGCCTGTGGGATATCATTACAGTACCAAAGGGAGTGGGAATAATTTTATGAAACCATATTAAGGTTTAGGGCAGAAAACTTAACCACCCACATTCACTATTTCCCTTGTAAAAAGTTCCTACCAGAGTGGACACTTGCAGACATTAACATACCTGAGACAACTCTGGGGTCTCATTTCACTGGATAACTCTCAGCACTGTAGCTCCGCCACAACCAAGTTCTAGTTTGATTCCTTGTTTCGGTCGTACTAAATACATTTACACTTGCGTGACTGCAAAATATTAATTGAATTTATGTTTCCCTGTGTCTCAGGTATGACTGGAACATTGTCACAAAGGTCGCTGAGGATCATCTTTTGGATCGGGTGATCGGAGGCCAGATGGGCTTGGAGTACATTGACATGTTTTCATCACTGCTCTGCAGGAACATGAAAATCATCCTGTCCAACATCCTGGCCCTGCTGGGAGATATGGACCTAATTAGGTAAAGTATAATGCTTCACTGTGGTGGAGAGAGGGATCATACTCACCAAGGGATCAGTCTGCTTAAAAGTTTAGATGAAAATTTAATGTAAATACTTGTCAGGATTATCTTCATGTCTGTATTAATCATGTGTTCATTTTTTTCTCACCCCACAGCTGTAAGAAAGTGAGCAAGACATGGAGGAGGGTCATCTGTGAAGATGCAGCATCTCTGAGCAGGTGTGAAAGAGCCGAGCAGTCATTATGGGTGAGGAAACGCACGCTTACCTATACAAGTGTACTCTCTCCATCAAACAAAAGCCGAGTGCTGCAATATTTTGGCATTATGATGCCCCTGGCCATCGGTCAGTTTCTTGTCAAGCATTAAACTCTTTATGCCTCCACACCCTTCATACATATTGATTGAGGATACTGTGTCTGATCTTTACATGCACTGTGTAATTTCACATACATGAAACAACACTGGGAATTACACTGGTTTTTACTATACACCAGAAAAACCTCCTCATGTTGTTCTTAGCTTCAGACACTCCTAAACTCAATTCAGCCACACATGTCTAACTCTAGTCACTTAAATTTAAGGTTTGGCTTTTGTTTTATCTTTATTATCTTGTGTTCCACATGTAGACAATTCAAGCCAGGAACACTTGAATTCCTCCAACTGTGGCAACTATGACGCTCTTAATACCTGTGTGCATTTTCATTTTAAGAAAGAATGAAAGTTTGATAATCCTGCTTGGAATTTGAGTATTAGAGCATCCAATGCCAAAGACAATTGTGACATAAATCAGTGTGCCTTTCATGTTCTAATGTGTTACTGCTTTATTCTGTTTTAGGAGTCAAGGAGCTCTCTGAGACAAAGCGGCTGCGGTCTGACAAGAGATGTAGGTGTGTCCAGGGTGGTGCTGTCCTGCATGCAGACCCTGGCCTCCTCAAGCACTCCCTCCTCTTCCTCATCCACCCCAACATGCAGGGTCAACAGGCGGACGGCTTGCTCTCAGAAGGCTCCCCTACATACACGCTTTGATGAATATGTGCAGGTGAGCGTTCGTTTATAAATTAAAATTATTTTTAATATCTGACTGGTTTTCATGTCAATCTATTACTCGACCGATGGTCGTAGCCCAATATAAAGACATAGGTGTGTCACGCAGTGTAAACCTGCTAACAGGAGTTGTGGTTTGATATTACTGATGTTTATGATGGTGAGG